GTGAGTGATGCCTTTGTCATGATCTAAATGGTATGCTGCCCTCTGCTCGATAAGCTAAGACCTCTCCCACGAAGTCTCAGGTATAGGCAATTTGCATCCAAATTCTTTGCCACAGCACTGCTAATTCCTAACGGAACTCTTATTTCTCACTGAAACCTCCTCAGTTTGGCCTTTACTTTCCATGTTCCTATCAGCATTTTGATTTCTGGGTGTTGGTTAAGCGGCGGCGCTCGTGGCTGGTTGCAGCCTGGGGTGGCCAGGCTGACAGAAGAGAGTGCTGGATGCTGGGGTGGCGGAAGAATCATGAGCCATGGTTACCTTTTTAGAGCTTCATTAGGAGGCACACCCGCTTTTTAGGCTGGGACGCTGTTGCAGGCTGGTGACGTAATAAGGACCTAATCCTTACACTGAGTCCCTAACAGAATTTTCCATTAAACTCTGCTTACTGCTTACTAGGTTTATCCCCCAGCCTATTCCCCTAAACTTTCCCGAACTCTTTCTGCAAACGAGTCTGCAGCTCAATAGTTCCCCATAGCATCTCTGCTGTAGCAGTGATTACCCGCTTCTTGGTGCCATCTTTCTTTCTTTCTTTCTTTCTTTCTTTCTTTCTTTCTTTCTTTCTTTCTTTCTTTCTTTCTTTCTTTCTTTCTTTCTTTCTTTCTTTCTTTCTTTCTTTCTTTCTTTCTTTCTTTCTTTCCTTCCTTCCTTCCTTCCTTCCTTCCTTCCTTCCTTCCCTCCCTCCCTCCCTCTCTCTCTCTCTCTTTCCTTCCTTCCTTCCTTCCTTTCTCTCTCTCTCTCTCTCTCTCTCTCTCTCTCTCTCTCTCTCTCTCTCTTTCTTTCTTTTTTGCATTAGTTTTCCATCACAAGCCAGCATCTAGGACAAAAACCTTAGGAAGAGAAAAGGGTTCTTTCAGTTTGAAGTTTTAAAGGTTTCAGTCTATGACTGTTTGGGCCTATTGCTCTGGGCCTGTGGTAGCCCTTCATGGCAGGCACTCACCAAGTTAAAGTGCTTACCCTAAGACCAGGAAGTGAAAGTTAGGGTGTTCCACAGTCCTCTTTGAGGGAATACCCTCTAATGATACTAAGACCTCTATTAATCTTTATGTCTTAAAATTTCTAACAGTTGTCTAGTATCAAGTTGGGGGACCAAACCTTTAAACACATAAGTTGTTTATCTAAGCCGCACAGTGATTCTTAAATGTTATTCCTAACTGGCGAAAACTGGTTTGGGTAAAGTCAGATTCATGTTATTGGCTTGGCACTATCTGAATTTAGGACGTGCTACCCTATGCTAGAGCCTGAAGTGCTCAAAAGTCTTAGTCATCCTCTTCCATGTTGATTTCATGTATGATGGGCTTCTAGGCAGAGACTGGTGTAGTTTCTTTTCAGAAAGCAAGGCTAAAAGATCTACCAACCAGGGGGTGGAGAAGTGGCTCAGCAGTTAAGAGCACTTGTTGCTCTTGCAGAGGACCTGGGTTTGATTGCCAGCACCCACATGGTGGTTCACAACCATCTGTAACTCCAGTTCCAGGAGATCTGCTACCCTCTCTGACTTCTACAGGCATCAAGCATGCAGGAGGCGCATGCGCATACATGCAAGCAAAACACTCACACACAGAATAAAATGAATAAACCTAATAAAAATTAAAAAATAAAGATTTTTGAATTGTAACATATGCTAATGAGATTGAAAAGTGTTTAGAGTCAGGTGAACAATTTGGACCTCGTTAGATTTTTTTTTTCTTCTGCCTGAAAAATAAAAACTGATTTCTCCTACATAAAAGGAAAAGGCATGTTAGGTCCATCAAAGCTGTAAGGAAAAACACCTAGCTGTGACTCGTTTTGTAGTCAATCAAGCATAAGTCACTCCTTTTCAGTATTTCATAGCTTTGTCCGGAAAGTTTTGTCTCCGCCTGAAATAGGTGATTTCTCTACTCACCTTGGCATGTGGCGGTGCCTGGGATTACGCATCATCCTGGTGTTTGCCTTTCTCTTAATCACCTTAATTTATAAATCTAGATCTAAGGAGTGTAGCTTCTACCCCAGCTGCCTCGAATGGTCCACTTCTTCCACACTGGAACTCATGAATTGAGGCTGACTCTGGTCTCCAGCTATTCTCAGAGTGTCCCATGCTTCTTAACCTCGTTGGTATGTGAGGAATGGTCGATCCAGCCTTTGGGGATACTTTGGGTCCTGGGTGTTTGGGATCTTGAGTTGTTTCTCAGAGGCATAATGGAGACTTCCTGTACCGCTGGTGAACCCTTCATACATAGTCCCTGAAGCAATGAGTGATTCACGAATCTCAGGGTGAGAAGAGATTTCTAGTCAGTCAGAGCATTGGATGTGTGAGCTACATTGGCAGGGGCATTAATTGGTATTGTCCCCACAGATCACATGTGGCGAGGTTGTAAAGGCATTATTTGGAGATTCAGTGATTTAAGTAGATTTAGATATTATTAGGAAATCTTGAAACCAAATGGGTTACTTTCTATGCTGATGAAAGGTTAAATCTTTTTATTTTGTGTGTGTTCATGTGTGTGTGGTATGCATGTATGTATGTGTGTTCCTGTGTATGTGGGTGTATGTGTGTGCGTGACTGAAGTTGACATTGTGTTTTCCTCCATTGCTGTCTACTTTATCGACACAGGTCTCTTGCTAAACCCATAGCTTACCAGCTTCAGCTGGCTTTGGAGATCCCCCGTTTCTGTTCCCCAGTGCTAGGATTACCGGCAGCTGACACACCTTCCCGCCTTGACCTGGGCACCAGGGATCCGACCTTCAGTCCTCACGTTTGCATGGCACATGCTTTCTCCGCTGGGCCATCTCCCTATCCCTGAGGCATCAGCTGAGCGTAGACAGATATTTAGTGCAGACCCCAGACCCGACACGCCCTCCCCATCTATCTCCACTAAGATTGCACTTCTTGGCTGCATCTCTTCACAGAAATTGCTCTACTAAGTTGATTTGGTACAGTAACTCAATACACATGCAGATGCTTACTCCAGGGACCCAGATTCTCTCTGCATAGGTATCAAGCTCTCAAAGCAGATAAATCCTGCTCTGTTTAGTTCAGACAAGAATGTTTTTTTTGTTTTTTGGGGTTTTTTTGTTTTGTTTTGTTTTTGTTTTTGTTTTTAACAAGGAACTTGGCTAGAGATCCTGAGTCGAATTGCAGATTAGCTTGACTGACAGAAAAATCCTTTGGTCTATTGTTTTATTTCACCCCCTCTGAGATATATTTAGACTAACACATTCCAAGTGTCCACTGGCCATTCTGAGCTGTCACCAGGCTGCTTGCTGCAGAGATTTTTTTTTTTTTAAACTGTCCTGTGGCATACTTCTGGCTGTCATTGCTGTGGTCTCAGCAAGCTGGCTCAGAATGAGATGGCTGTGTCTTCAGCAGCTCAACAAACAGCTTTAATAGAAGCTTCACCAACTCTGTGGGTGTCTCCCTAGATCCTTCTAGCCTGCCCTTGCCCCTTCTCTGCTCAGAAATCCTAGTGGCATTTTGGAAGTGTAAGATGGCTGCATTCCTCTTTCGCCTGGTAGCATCCCAGGACTTCAGTAGCTTTTAGGATACATGCTTTCCATGGCTTCTCTAGTCAGGATTTGAATTTCTACCAGGTTCTCCCACTGCCCCAGGCCTTCTCTGATCAGACCACCTTAGCCTGCCTTCTGTTCTCAGCCAGTCCACACACAGGCATGCACATGCACACACACACACACACACACACACACACACACACACACACACACACACACAGACATTGTTCTCTCTAGCTGGAAGGTTCTGCTTTATTCTCTTAAGACAGCCCTTATTTTTCTACTAAGCCCATTTGCTGTACCACAGAGGCTCATCTCATTGGCCTATCTTCTATGCAAGGCAGGAAATGCCACGAGGGTAGGATATATCCTCTTTTTTGCTTGGATAAGAGGTTTAAAACATCACGAACATATAATGTGTACCATCAATACTCACTATTTATTGGATGGCCGTGACTTCACCCTTCCGGAAATGTGTGTCTGACTCACGCGAGCAGTAACCTCATTGTTCCTTCCTCCCCATCCAGCCTACCACTGTCTAAAAGGTCTTTCTTCATCTGAGAGTTGTTGTTTATAGAAGTGATCTGCACTTAGTTTTCTAGTGTCTAGGAATGTTTCTTTTTCCCTTTCTGGGGTTACACCTTGTTCTAAGGCCTCCCTGTTCTCTGAGTGAAATCTTGCTCTGACCATCTCTCCAGGCTCTCTGGCCACCCATGAGCCCCTCCTGAGCAGAACTCCAGCTAAGGCCACAGGTACAGTGTCAGTAAGAGCAGCAATACGCAGGAGCGACTTTCCAGAGATGATGGCGGGAACTAAGGGCCTGCCTCTTGAACAAGAACTAGCTGCTCTTTATTGGTATAATACCATCTGTCCCGCTCTCATGAAGAAGTGAGAATCATAAGAAATTGTAGGTTAATTATCAAAAGCCATGATGTGAAAAGTTAGTGTAATTAGAAAACAGAGATTGGATAATTTACTCGTAACAACAATGTTGTTTTTCTTACAGTTTTTTTTCTAAAAAAAATTTTCTTTTCTTTTTAAAGCTATGAATGTATTTGTAAAATCTGCTGTTGCAAAACAACCTGATGTTTGGCCATATACAGGATTTGTTCTGGAATAATAGCTTTTGTTTTCTGTCATTGCCTGCATCATTACTGGCTTTTATACCATCCCATTTCCTTTGTCACCTGCTGTTATAACAAACAAACAAACAAACAAACAAGCCCCTTCCTCCAACCCACTGTTGTAGACAACAGTTTCTCTCATGCCTAGATTTCTCTCTAGCTCTAGATTTAATAAAAATAACCTATCCCCACTGCTAGTCCAACTCTAGTTTATCCAATTTACTCTAAAAAATGAGCAAGAAAACAAACAAACCACCTCAAACCTGTAATTTCTGAAATCTAGACAGCCTCCATCAAACAATAACACCTATGTGTGAACACCTCTCGCATCAGGTGATGCAGGCCCAGTGTGTCAAAACAGAAACTGAATTCTACATGCGCAGCCGCAGCGAGATAGTGGATGGAAAAGGCCACACCATGGGGGCTCTTTATTGGCAGCTGAATGATATCTGGCAGGCTCCTTCCTGGGCCTCTCTTGGTAAGTGTTTCTTTGTGTGAGAGAAATCAATGCCTGTGTGGAGAGGGACTGGGAAAGCACAGAGCCTGAAGAATCAGATTACCCCAAGGAGAGCTGGGCCAAAGAGGCTATTCCCTGAACCTTCTATGAACTCCTCACCCAGCTGCCCCTACGAGTCTTTCCATGAGCCCTGCTATGCTGGCCAAGGCAGCCTGGTGAGGCGTGTGTTCAGGTACAGAGATCCCAGGTGTGATGTGAGGTGGAGTGGTGTCTGTGTGCGTCTGCATGTGAGCTGGTGAGTGTGTGAGTGTGTGAGTGTGTTTTTTTCATTGAACCTAGAGCTCTTGAGCTCATGGATTCAGCGAGGCTGGTCAGCCAGCAAGTCCTGAGGAACCCCAGTCGCTGCCTTCCCAGTGCCGGGTATGCTGGTGTGCCCAGGCTTTTACGTGGGTGCTGAGCATCTGAACTTGCATGGCAAGCAATTTACCAACGGAGCCATCTCCCCAGTCCCCATTGCATTGCATTTAACTTATTTAAGAGGGTTGATCTTGTTCTGTGTGGGAGAATTCTGCCAAGCAGAAGATTGGTTCATGTATATGTCAAAGTGTCCTTATTCGCTGACTCTGACTTAAGTCTATAAAATCCCCGTTATAGGCTCTGTTTGTGTTTTGGAAAAGGTAGTGGGTCAGAAATGCAAGTCGGAAAGGTTGCCAGCTGAACCATTTCAACTAGCAATGGTTATGTGACCGGAATGGAGTTTGTGTCTTCATCTATTTTTGTACCTTTAAAAACTGAAGGAGTCATAATGGGTCTCTGACCTCCAGAAGAGGAAACAATGGGATGCTGTGAGGTGAAAGAGTGATGTATGTGGCCATCTTGCAGTCTCCCCACTCTGGTGGTGGTCATACATGAGACTGTAGTTATCCCAGGAGCCATCTCCCACTCGCAGAAAACTTGCCCAGGAGAAACCCATGGGACTGGCCTCTCCATACTCCGCTGCTCCCACCAACTGCTGTTTTCAGAAAGCGGGAACCATTGGGAATAAAATGTTAAGACTTGGAATTTTGCAAACCTTGGAAGACTTTGGTTTTTATCTTTCTTCTGCCTCCACAGCTTGCACGGCACATTGCGTTAGCATCCTCCCGGTCTCTGTCTCTCCTGTGGAGACGGCTGTGGGCCAATGTGCTCCAGGCTCTGTCCTAGGTGCCCTACAGCACAGCATCCCTGGAGTGCTGTGATCTGGTTTTAAGTAAGAAAGCAGCCCGTGGAGGTTAGGCAGCAAGCTCAATGTCCTGTGGCCCAGAAAGCATCGGAGACTGACTGAATCACTCCAGTTTTGTTTAAGTACAGCCTATTAATCAGTCCACTGTCTTTGATTTATTGCTTTGAAGTGGCTTAGTCACCAAATTGCTTTATAATTGACAAGAAAAAATGGACAATCTGGATGTTTTTCTAAAAATTGTGCAGCTGGAAAAATTGTTATCTGTTTAGTTAATTAAAATCTTTACATCATTTCTCCCTCCTCCAAATAGTAGCTAACAATATTTTCTAGAAAGTTCACTCCCTATTTTAGCAAAATTAAAATTTACTTTATACATCAACTTCCTTGAGAAGGTTTTTCCCACCTTATTCTCTTTGTCTTCCAGCCTCCAGAAATGTTTCTTTATCAGGGAGAATCTTCATTCTCCAACAGATATTGAGAGAGAAAGATAATAAAAGATTGAGTGTGGAGCTGTGGTGGTTTGAATGAGAAGTGTCTCCTGTTAGCAGCACTGTGTGGGGAGGTTACAGAACCTTTAGGAGGAGTAACCTTGATAGGGGAAGTATGTCATTGGAGGTGGGGCTTACAGGGTTTATAGCCTTGTCCCACTTCCTGCTTCTTCTCTCTGCTTCCTGTGTGTAGCTAAAATGTGACCAGTCAGCTCCTGCCACCATGACATGCCATTCCTGCACTCTAGACTCTCTTTCTGGAACCTTAAGCCAAAACAAAACCTTCCTTTTGTAAGTTGCTTTTGGTCGTGGTATTTTTAACAACAATTCAAATATAATCAGTACAGGAGGTTTAGCCTGCTGGACATCTGAATGCGGCATGGAATTCTACAAAGGCTTGACAATTTTGCATTGTATTTGAGGAGGTATTATTAATTGCCATGGATCTGGGTGTTTAGTCTGACTCTGAAAGCCATTTTTGTATAGTGGCTGTTTTGCTTTGCTTAGGAGATTTTGTACCTGTGGGAAAGGAGACCAGTCTAGATATTTCTTATGAATGAAAATTAGCAACAAGCATCCACTCCTGGTGCTGATGATTTTTCTCCTTTATGTGTGTGTAGTAAAAAAGAACAATGGTAGCCAGCACACTGGTGTACCTTGTAATTCCAATGTGCAGGAGGCTAAAAGTTGGAAGATCCAGGGTTTAAGTCTAGCCTGGATCTTGTATTAAACAAGACACACAAACAAGGAATCAGAAGAGCATTGATGTACTGAACTTCTGGAAGCAAGATTACCTCTGAGAAAGAGCTATCTTGAGGTAAAAATCTAGGCTCGAGATACTGCCCCCAGCATGTTCCATTCAAGTACTTCCCTCTTTCTTCCTGTGGGAAATAAGTAGTTACTACCTGCCTTCATCTTTCTAATGTTGTGAGGCTGATGTCAAACAGTCTCCAGAATTGTTGTGCAGAGCACCCAGCACACCTGAGTCCCCCCTAATACAGACTCCCTCACATGTGTGCTTCACAAAGTTCTGACAAGCCGGGCGGTGGTGGCGCACGCCTTTGATCCCAGCACTCGGGAGGCAGAGGCAGGCAGAAATTTTGTGAGTTCGAGGCCAGCCTGGTCTACAGAGTGAATTCCAGGACAGGCATCAAAGCTACACAGAGAAGCCCTGTACCGGAAAAAAAAAAAAAAAAGTTCTGGCCAGCCATGCTGGCTACGCACACGGAGCCTGGCCTGACCGCTCGCTCCCGGTGCCTCTCTTGACTATTTTCAGAGTATGGAGGAAAATGGAAAATGCTGCATTACTTTGCTCGGCGATTCTTTGCTCCGCTGCTGCCGGTCGGTTTTGAAGATAAAGGAGTGTTTTATGTCTACGGTGTGTCAGATCTTCACAGAGACTACAACACACAGCTCACCGTGAGTTACTTGGAGTGTGTGTGTGTGTGTGTGTGTGTGTGTGTCTAAGGCTGAGGGGGACTTTTAGATGCCTTCTTTAATTGTTTGGAATTCTCTTGGGGCCATATCAGAATGCTTCTAGTGTTTGTAGCATAAGCCGGGCTGTGTAGGCATACAGTGTTCAGGCTAACATCTGCTATGTATTACATAACCTGAGCAAAGCTGTTATCGTCTTGGGGATTCAGTTCCTTCAACTGTCAGATAATACTAGTCTGTCTCCTTTAGATGACCCAAAAAAAAAAAAAAATGAATAGAAGAATTACATGAGGAACTGTGTAAACTTCAAAGTGCTAAGTAAATGTAAGATTATAACTGTGAGAAGCTGGTACCAGTCCAAATTTCACAAAAGAAGTAGTGTAAAGGGTGTGGTAAGGCTGCAATCAGTAAAACTATCTGAAATAGGTATATAGAAAAATAAACCGTGTCTTAAGTTCAAGTAAGAAGAAAGACTTAGAGACCCATGGAGGTCTACAGTTTAGATGATGCCGCTAACTCTAGAAATAGGCCCTGGCTGTAGAAAGCCAGCCATGGGCTTCCTGGGTCCTGGGCTGACAATGGGCTGTTACCATTTTCAGTTCTCATGACAGGCAGTAGAGTTTTCAATGGAGTGCTCCTCATGACGAAATGGATTCTGGGAAGCGGAGTAATTAATGACATGGCTAGAGCTTAAGGGCTGGGATGAGAACTCAGGGTTTACAGTCAACCAGTTCTGCTGCTCTGCTCTTGGGCCAATATTACTCTCTAATTAGACAAACAAAGCCGTAAGCGAGAATGTCCGTTGTCATTCTTTCGTCCCTAGGTGAGGCTCTACAGCTGGAGATCCCTGGAGCCTTTGTGCTCTCTTGTGACTTCACCTACTGTGATTAGAGCTGGGAAGGCTGTGGTTCTCTACAAGAAGCCGGTGCTGGAACTGCTGAAGAGATGTTGGGGTTGTACGAGGGAAACCTGTGTGATTTCCTTCCACCTCTCAACTGACAGTGACCTCTTCAGCCCAACCAACTATCATTTCCTGTCCTCCCTGAAGGATGCCAAAGGGCTGGTCAGGGCCAACATCACTGTAAGTCTGGGGTTCTAGTGGCTGATGGGGTGTTCCTTCTCTGGGGCCAGCAAGCTGTGTCCTGGTCATCTCCCACTTCCCTCTTAGTGCTCGTAACCTGAGCCCTGAGGATGGCTCCTCTCCTCCTGCTGGATGCTAAGACTAAGTAATCTTTATTTCTGCTTCAGGATTTGTGTGTAATCGGTTTCTGCCACCTGTGCTTTCCTGTCACCTTCCCCTGATGAGGCCGGTATGGTGGAGTGAGGTGGCATAAACCACCTACACAGATTGCATCTCCACTGGGTTCCAGGCTGTGCTCTAGGGGTGCTGCTGCTTAAGCTCTGGCTTCCCCAGCTTCTCTGAAGTGCTGTGATCTTGTTTTGCCAGTAAGAAAGCAGTCCACCGAGGGCTGGGCAGCAGGCTCCATGTTCTGTGGCCCAGGAAGCCTTGGGGTGGGCCGAGTCACTCCAGTTTTGACTCTTTAAGTTTATTAATCACTTTGCTGCCTTTGAGTCACAGCTTCAAAGTCACTTAATCCCTGAATCTCTTTATAATTGGCAAAGGGGAAAAAAAAAGGATAATCAGGATATGTTTTTCTCAAAATGATGCAACTGGTAAACTTGGCACCTGTCTAGCTGATTGAATACCTTTCCTTCCTCATTTTTTTTTTTTTAAAAAAAGAGAGATGTATTTATTATGTGTACAGTGTTCTGCCCAAAAGAGGGCACCAGATCTCATTATAGATGGTTGTGAGCCATCATGTGGTTGCTGGGAATTGAACTCAGGACCTCTGGAAGAGAAGCCAGTGCTCTTAACCTCTGAGCCATCTCTCCAGCCCTCCTTCCTCTTCTTCCTCCATGTAAAACCTGACAGTACTTTTCTAGAAAGTTTCCGTCTCTATTTCAGTCAAATTTAAATTTGTTACACAGTTTACTTGATTGAGATTTTTTAAAATTGGCTTGAGAAATGATAATATAAAAACACCTAATTTTTTTTCAAAAGAAGTTGAAACAAACATACCTTCTTTCCAAATTAATAGTGACATATTCACGCAACCAAGTCTAAGTGCTCGGGAAACACTGAGGTAGAATGGAGATAAGAAGGTTGGCATATGCTTATGTCATTTTTTTTTTTTAAACAGCAAAGCAGAGAAATGACCTGTGGCGGTTTAATGAGAACATTAAAGCTTGCCTGTTGGAACTTTTGGTTCCCTGGTGGTGAATCTATTTGGGGAGGTTTCAGAGGCGCAGCCTTCTCGGAGGAAGCGTGTCACTGGAGGCGGGCTTTGAGACTTTAAAGCCTCAGGACACTTCCAGTTTGTTCTCCACGCTTTGTGCCTCTGCTTCTGTTTCTGCTGCTGTGTTGGCTGCTTGCTGGCAGGCCTCTGCTCTGCCCTCATGGAATCTTAACACTCTCCTGTATGTTATTTTGGGCATAGTGTTTTATCACAGACACAGAAGAGCCTTCAAGGTGCCACCATAGCAAAGACAACTGAATAACGCACCCATTCACACTCTATCAACTTAGGACTTGGAAATCAATTTGGTTTGTTGTTGTTGGGGAGATGGCTCAGTTGATAAGGTGCCAGCAAGCATGAGGACCTGAGCTTGATCCCCAGAAACCAAGTCGAAAGCCAGTTGTGGCAGCTTGTTCCTGTAATCCCAGCACTGGAGAGGCAGAGACAGGGAAGACTCCTGGGGCTTGCTTGCCAGCCAGCCTAGCTGAATTGGAGAGCTCTAGCCTTGGTGAAAGACCTTGTTGCTGTGTGTGGAGGCCCACAAAGGTTTCCTAGTGAGATTTGAGTTTGTTTTACCCAGCAGAGCTGCATTAGAGGATTGCTTGACCCTGTGCATAGTTTCTAGGTGATTGGAAGGGTCTACACTTGGCTGAGCTAGGGGGAGGTCTTTTGCTTCATCTCTTGGCATTCCTATATATAGCCCTTTAGAAGAGACAGAATGGGTTGGTGGATGAGGATCCAGGCCCTCCCAAGGCTATCCTGTGTTTCTATCTGTTTCTCTTCCCTCTATCCTTCTATCTAAATCTCTTATCCCTCACTCCTCAAGAGTACCCTGAGGTAAAATGTGGGAGCTGGTCTCCCAGCTGGCCCCCCACAGTTATGGAATAATCTTTTTGTACACTGTGAAGATGTGTCATTTTGATTGGTTTAATAATAGCTGAATGGCCAATAGCTAGGCACGATTTTCAGGCACACAGGATGCTGGGAAGAAGAAGAAGAAGAAGGGGGTCTCCAGCCTGGAGAGGAAGCAGCATGGGCAGTACAGAGTAACGGTAATTAAGCCATGAGACAAAAAGTAGATTGATAAAAATGGGTTAATTTAAGTTGTAAGAGCTAGTTAGTAACAAGCCTAAGCTATCGGCCAACCTTTTATAATTAATAATAAGTCTCCATGCCATTATTGTTGAGCTAGCAGTCCTCACCAAAAAGTCTGAATATACCCTGTCTCAAAAAAATAAAGTGGATAGGCAATTTAGAAGGGTACTTGACCTTTATCTGTGACCTCAGTGTGCTCAGCTGTGTGTGTGTGTGTGTGCATACATACATGAACACATGCATGCATATACACACACACCTAAAAGACTTAATTTAAAAAGAAATTATTTGTTTATTCTTGCTTAGCTAAGCTTTGGTTACTTCATGATAATTGGGGTAAAACAGCAGAAGGGCTTCTTGTTCTATTTCGTTAGTGTATCAGTGAGACTTGTTCTTCTAATAATGTTGATTAGTTGTTTTTGTCAGGGGTACTTATTGTATGTATCTCTGTGAACCGGGAGTTCGAGCTCAATCCCCAGCTCTGCTGTAAGGTGTACAGAGTTGTGACATTTTTCTTCAAAGCAGGCATCAGAGAGAGCTTGGCCCTGGTGCCTCTTTTCACCTTGGCCTTGCAGCAATAGTAGCCAGTGCCTCCTGACCTGGGTAAGTGGGGTAAGCCATTGATCAGCCTGCCTGTGTCTACATTGGGGTTTCCATTGGAAGAGAAGGTGCCATGATTTGGGAATAAGATATAACTTCATACCTGAGTCTAGAAGCTCTGTGGCTAAGGTCTGCCGCTAGGTCCAGTTCTAGTCCTTTAAAAGTCACTGAAGCCACCAAAATGCTGAACACCTCTTTCTTGGTGTTCTAATGAAGGTTTGTAAGGATATAACGCTTTCAGCTTCTCTAGAGATATTTTCCTTCAAAATTGGCATTTATGCATTTCCTTGGCTCGAGACGACAATTTGGTAATTTTCCACAGACCTAAATCATTTCCCAGATGTTGTCAAGTGTCATAAGCTGCACAGAATATATGACTTTGCAGTTCAGACCAAGGGCTGGAAATGCAGGTTTTATTGGGCCCACATAAATGTCTGCAGACATAAATGTAGGCTGCAGTTCTTTCTTGCCCTTCACCGCCCTTATCTTTTTTATTTTTTCAGGTTGACATCTCTCAGAAGGGTGATTTGTTTGTGTTTGACCTGAAAACTTCTGCCATCGCTCCCTTTGTTTGGTTGGATGTAGGAAGCATCCCAGGGAGATTTAGTGACAATGGCTTCCTCATGATTGAGAAGATGCGTTCTGTACTGTTTTACCCTTGGAAGCTCACTAGCAAGAGTGAGCTGCAGCAGGCTTTCAGTGTGACCTCCCTGGCAGATATCTACTGAAGAGACATGGACGGTATTTCAGTGGACACTGGGAATGAGGCCTTTCTAAAGCGTGGCTGGAAAGAAGGGCCGCCAGAGCTAAAGAAGCCACGGCACATCTGCTAGCTGGTGTGCACTGACTGTTCACTCTTCCAGTTTGTACAGTGAATACTTTCAAAGATGGCTCATCACCCAGGTGGTGCCCTTAGACAAGGTCATGCCCAGATGTTCTTGAATCTCCCAGGATTGTGTTTTTAGGACTTTGTTCCACAGCTAAAACACAATGAAGAAGAGTTAGATAACTCGATGATCTTTTGGGGAACCACTAGATTGTGACCTGACAGTATGCATGGAACTAAATGTGGAGGTAATGTAGGCCTTTTAGAACAGTGTAAAATTCTACCCACTGAAGACAGAGTGTGAAGTTATTATTGCCAGAGGAAATGGGAGCTCAGTACAATAGAGATTACAATAGTTACAAGAGAAACTGTTAGATGGCAGCCATATTGATTGTTGTTGGTAGACAGTGGAGGGGCTTGAAGGTTGTCATTTGGTTACCATCTTGAGGTAGGATTCCTTTTTTCGTATAGTTCATTATTAAAAGACCAAGAGAGTGATCTTTCTTTGAAGAGCAGTATAGACTGGTTGTGCTGGTACCTTCCTGTAGTCCTAGCACTCTGGAAGCAGAGGCAGGAGAATCACAAGTTCAAGGCTGGCCCTGATTACACTGTAGAATTTTTCCCCTGTATTGGCTCTAAGCTTTCATGTGACCATTAGGCTAACACTGATTCTGGTGAGCTTTCTAATCAAAAGATATGAGCTACATTTAAACTCATCTACTCTGGTGTGGAAGTAGCAAAAAATGTTGATAGGTAGCTAATTTGGGTACAGGTTTGCAGACTTTTTTGTACTACTTTTGTACTTTCTATATGTTTAAAATTATATAAAAAGCCATAGTTTATACAAATTGATTGACAACTTGATAGTTCATCTGCACTCTGTTTCACCATTTAATAAACATTCCATTGTGTGCAAGGCTGCACTGACCATTCATTTCTGCTTGATAAATGAGAGAATTTGAAGAATATAAACCAAGATTACTGGAAAGTGTTCATAATTCCTTAGTGGAATGGACAGGTGATGAGTGTTTTTATTGCTATCTGAGACTCATTAAGTAATAGTTTTGTTTTTAAAACTGAAGAGCACTAGACTGAAGATCCCCGAAAAGAAGATAAATACTACAGGTTGTTTAGCGCTTTTCTTCAATACCCAAGGGTTTCCTCATTTTACAGACACACAAAAACACACACAGTCTCTCTCTCTCTCTCTCTCTCTCTCTCTCTCTCTCTCTCTCTCTCTCTCTCTCTCTCTCTCACACACACACACACACACACACACACACACACGTGAGGCTGCTCAAGGACTCCACCTTGCTGAGGGCAACAGAGGACCTGGCTCTTCATTAACTGGGTGGATTCCATATGAGAAGTCTGTGAAGTGGACTTTGAAGTGAATAGACTAGCAGCCATATCCAGTCTGTGTCGTGTGGGAGAGATGTACCCAGCACACAGTGTAAAATCACTTAACTTGAAATGTGTGGAACCAAATGTGGAGGTTCTGGGGTAATAGCACTGTGAAATGCTACCTACTGAAGACGAAGTGTGTGGTTATTATTGCCAGAGAAAAGAGCTCTCTAGTCCACCGGGAATAGAGAGATGGCTTGAAAGTTAAGAGAACTTGCTGTTCTTCCAGAGGACCAGAGGTGGGTTCCCAGAGCTCATGTTAGACATCTCTCAACTGCCTGTACCTTCAGGTCAAAGGGATCTGATACCCTCTTCTGGCCTTTGTAGGTACCTGCACATAAATGACATGCATTCCCAAACATGCATAGATACGCATGCACATACTTTTAAAAATCATGAGGCTTTTTTGGAGGAACTCATTGCATGGTTCTCTAGTGCGAATTTTGCAGATGACAACAACATATCACAATGTTGGCCACACCTCATGATGTTTACATTGGGTTTATCCTCAAATCAATTCTGCAACACGAATGAAGTGGCTGAACTTCTGTATTCTCTATTCTTGTGGTAAAATGGAATCAGTAGTCAGCCCCTCTTATTTTATTTTTGCAGAATAAGTGAAATAATTTAGCTCAAAGATGTGGCTGCAGAGACAGCAGGGCTGCTAGCCACACTTCTCATAATTCAAACCCACATTCTGAGGCTATTTAGCTGTAGGACCTTGGGTAGTAACTTCAGTTTTCTTTGTCCGCACGTGGTATGAATACTGTTAGGGAGTGGCAGTAGCCAGAGTTCTTCCAGAGAGCCTGTGCACGATCTGGACAGGTGTGTTTTGTGGTGGTATTTTGCTTGTACTGAAATGTGATTTTAATTGTATTTTAATAAATAAAGTTGCCTGAGGGTCAGAGCTATTAGAGCCATAGCAAGTGTGTGGCGGCGGTGGCGCACGCCTTTAAGGACCTGGAGGGCGGTACATTCAGGCAGTGACGAGGCAGTCACATGTTTGGGTTTATAACCAATGAGAAGGCAGAACAGCTAGACTATATAAAGACATACACACAGGAAGTAGGTCCCTTTTGGAGAGCTCTCTTGACTGAAGAGGATCGCTGAAGCAGGAAGGGTGAGGCTCTTAGCTCTGACCTCTTGACTTTCTTCTCTGAATCGGCTCTGTGTTTCTTATTTAATAAGACGGTTGGTTACATCTACATTTGGCGCCCAACGTGGGGCAAGAGTTTACACCTAAAAACTGAGAAAAAAGATTCTAAAATGGAGCTAAAAACAGCTTCCTAATTGTCTCTCTCAAATGAGCAGCAGCTGCTGGTTTGAGCTACTGGTGGGTTCCTAGCGTGCATGCTCGACCTGCAGTATGGCGGGAATGAGGCCTCTGCAAGTGGCCTCATGCATTAAGCTGCAAGGTGGATTTAGCCTTTGCAGGTACAAAACAAAAAAAGAGGTTTCTGGACTACACGCTGCTTGGATAAAAGCATAGACCCACGATAGCTCTCAGAGCTGGTGGTAAACGTAGCCATGTTGGGAAGCTGAGGTGGGCGGAGCCAGCAGCCACAGATGCTGCAGTTTAAGGCAATAGATTCACAATAAGACAGATTCAGATGTAATAGTTTACAATGTGTGTAAAAGATACGTAGGCTTGAAAGAGACAAAAAAGGTGATATATACAGTTATAGAAACAAATACATAGTTTTAAAAAATAAAGTCTTTAAAGAGACAGTAAAGGTAGTATAAAAAATAAGCCACGTAAAAATGGATATTACACAGAGAATCTGGATTGTGTTGTCTTTGGGATTTTTAACTGTAGAGAAACATTTGATCATAAAAGATGTTGAGTTAAACCAATATGTATATTTTAAAGATACCATGACTTCAAAATTTGGATGTAAGGATATGTTGCTTTGGAAAGGAGACTCTGCTTTTGTTCCCACAGAAAGCCAAAGGCTATGGATTTTTCAAGATTAAGATACATCAGGTTTGACCAGCCAAGACCCCCTGAAAGGTTTCCGATGACACCATGGCCCAGATGATCCAACATCCAGAATGGTTTGAAGGCAACTGGCTCAGACAATACAGTCTCATGGACTATTCCATAATCCTAAAATTTTCTTTGTATCCCCATAAGATACAGCACCCCCCTCCAGCAGGAAGTAGTAAGAGAAGCTACGCCCAAATTCCCAAATTATATGTAATTTTACTTTGTTAAGGTTAAAACCTTCCTTTTTGAAAAAAAAAGGGGGGAAGTGCTGTGGGATGGTCTGTATGGCAAATGTGTTGCTGATTGGTCAATAAATAAAACACTGATTGGCCATTGGCTAGGCAGGAAGTGTAGGTGGGACAAGGAGGAGAATAAAGCTGGGAAGTGGAAGGCTGAGTCAGAGAGACACTGCCAGCCGCCATGATGACAAACAGCATGTGAAGATGCCGGTAAGCCACGAGCCACGTGGCAAGGTACAGATTAATGGAAATGGATTAATTTAAGCTGTAAGAACAGTTAGCAAGAAGCCTGCCATGGCCATACAGTTTGTAAGCAATATAAGTCTCTGTGTTTACTTGGTTGGGTCTGACGGCTGTGGGACTGGCAGGTGAGAGAGATTTGTCCTGACTGTGGGCCAGGCAGGAAAACTCAAGCTACAGTGGTTTTTTTTTTTTTTTTTTAACCATGTTTGCTGTAGTGGAGTCTGATGTGCTTACTCGTGGGTTTGGGTTTCTGAGTTCTGTTGCTCCTTAGTGTTTATGGGAATAGTAGACAAGGTAGAAACAGCAGGGGCAGGTCTCACTGATAGAACCTTGCAAAGTGTATTCCAGGGAGAGTGCATGGATGGCCAGGTCACACTGCACAGGGTTGGGTCCTCCCAGTCCCAGAGAACAATACAAGTAGTAACTTTCTCATTCCTATTCACTGTAATTCTTTTTCTCTCTGCCTTATTACTGGACTTTTTATGATGAGATGTCACACCTGGGAAGTCACTTGCAAATTAAGCAGAATGATGTTGTTTTCTTTTGGAATGAAGGTGAACTGTAGAAATGAAAGCATGTTTGCCAAATTCTTAAAGTGATAAAGACCTGAAACAGGTGAGGTGCAGGTCCCACTTTCCCAAGAGCTGCAACTGGTAAGGGGGAGGGTCAGCTCCCTTGCCCACCACAGGTGACAGGCGTAAGGGGTGGAGGAGGGCATCTTTTCCTCACCCTCATCAGCAGTAAACTAATCATTATTCTAATAGCCTTCTTATCCAAAAGGACAACCTGCGTCAGTTTCCCCAAGAGCCCCATACTTGAAATCTTTCGATAAGGCCATCTTGTCCAGCATTTTGGGAAAGTTGTTTTGGAAAACTTAGGATAAAATGAAAACGTTTTGAATGGGTCTCTAAAGGCTTTCTTTGTAATTAATACATAAGGAAGAATACTAGATCAGCTGGCCAGGTTCTGTCGTACAAGCAGAGGGTCGGCTAACCTGCCAAGACATCTTTGAGCCCTTGAGCAGGAGTCCAACAGTAATGGGCTTTGCAGAAATAATGGCATTGCGTCACTGTCTCATGTTTGATAAACATCCTCCCTTGTGTTTGTAAATAAGGGCTGCCAGTCCTGCCGTAAAGGGAAAGTTTGCAGTGATAATGGAGCTTGATTTTTTGGCTCTTTAGCTAGATTTAGCACGTTCCCTTGTGCCATCTCATGCTGGGCAGTGAGCAAGATTCTACACACACATTACCCAGAGCTCTCTGGAAGGGGGACATTTCTATTTGCAAACTGGCGTTCGTTCTTGCCTCTAACATGTTTGGGAGCACCCTCTTATTACTCTGTTGTCCTTATTTATTGTGGCCTTGGTAAAATTGATTGGGTCCTGAGAGACAGCATACATTCCTAGGGGTTGGAGCAGCTATTTATTACTGACTGGCCAGCCAACAGCCAGACTGTCTGCTCTGTGGAGGAGGCTGTGTCCAACTCCAGGGAGTGAATACTTGGTTATACCAAGCATATTCCCCTTTGTCAGTGGGTGGTATATGGTTAAGCAGGTGACCTAAGTAGGTATCTTGATAGGATTTTCCTGCCTGGTAAAAGAGATACTGGAGGGGCCGAAGAGATGGCTCTGTCGGTTGAGAGCACTTGTTGCCCTTCCAGAAGACTTGGGCTATGATTCCCAGCACCCACAAGATGGCTCACAGTCATCTGTCATTGTAACTGCCAAGGGTCAGACACCCTCTTCTGACCTCAGGCACCAGGTGTGCAGGGGTGCAGTCATACAGGCAGGCAAAACACTCATACCCATAAAATATTCCTTATAAATAGATACTGGAAGTGAATCTTGCTACTGGGTGTAACTGAGAAACATCTATTTGAGGACTGGACACTTCAGAGCTGTTGATGAAACAGTGTTGACAGGGACAGCAATGGTGTAGAGCTGCTAGACTAGCCCTCCACCCTCGAACTTGGGTCTTCTTAGAATACCAAAAAGGCCTCATTTGTTTAACCCACTTGCAGTCAGTCAGGTCTTCTGATTTGAGAACCAGTCATCCTAACTGATTCAAGTAAAGGAATGAGCTTTGGCGTTAGATGCACTAGGTACTTGTAGATGTACTAGGTACTTGTGTTTGAATACTGGGCCAATACTAGCAGGTTTTGAGTCCTTCTGTGCCTTAATTTCTATATTTTCTATTTGTGTGTGTGGTATATGTATATGTTTGTGAGTGTGCATGTGTGTGGAGGCCAAAGGTCAATGTCAGATGTCTTCCTTGACCTCTCTCTACCTTATATTTTTTTAAGACAGGGTCTTTCTCTGAACCTGCAGCTCACTGATTCAGCAAGGCTGGCCAGCCAATGAGCTTTGGGGATCTGCTTGCCACTGCTCTCCCTACTCTGAGGTTAAAGATGTGTACCACTATGCTTGGCTCTTATGGGGATGATGGAGGTCCAAACGCAGAGCCTCATGTATCAGCAGCAGGCACTTTATCAGCTGAGCCATCTTCCTGGCCCTTCTCTGCCTTAGGTTTATATGTATATGTATATATATGTAAATATGTATACATGTATAATTTAATATATATACATATATGCATATGTATAATTTAACCCACCTCCTACGTTAATTGTGAATACTAAATGAGATGATAGATAATGGTAGCACAAATACAGCAAATGTAAGCTATCATGCTTATTGCCTCCACATGAAAGCCACAGGACAGGTCTAGGGAGGTGGGCATATCTGCATCTGGGCAGGATCAGTAGCCTGGACAGTGTCACCCAGGGATCCAGGGAGAGTCAAGGGAAGCAGCAAGCACCCTGTTATTCTACCTTGACTGGCTGTCCTGAAGACACACGTATAGGAAGTTTGGATGAAATCACAGAGCCCATTTGGCTAGCAGATGGGAGTCCAGAAGTGCTCTAGAAATTTGAATGACCTGGTAACATTTAATAAGGGAGAGTTCATTCAAAATAATGGATTTATTTGTCTCTGATCTTCATGCTATAGGGAAAAACAAAACAAAACAAAAAACTGTAAAGCCTATATTTGGTGAATTTGCTCCTAGGCAATCTTAACTTATAATCAGTCAAAATCACCTTCACAATCACCTGAGCTTTGAGGTCCCACACATAGCTAGGTCTTGTGTAGGGCAGGGTAGGCACACGGGCTTCCCCTCGACCATGGAGTGCTGGGTCACCCATTGCCCATGCCTGGATGCAACATCATCTAACTCCAACATGTGTTAATCTTGAATTAGTCACGTAACATCCAAGCTTTAATTTCCTTATCTTACAGACCGTGGTCAATAATAACAAGTATTTCATAGCATCACTGTGAATTAAGTGGGATCAGCCTGTCCAGTGCCAGCAGGGATCAGCTCACAGTAAATGCTGCCTTGCTGTTACTGTTCAGCAAAAGACTGTGGAAGCCATCAGGCCTAGGGAGTCTCTGGGCTAAAGTGAAAAAGGCATTTAAAGCTTTACTACCAAGGGTTGGGGATGGGGATGACCCCAGCTCTATGACCTGAGTTGAAAAAGCGGAAAGATGAATACATTTCAAATCCACCCTCCTCCTTTTTTGGTATGGCTGGGTCCAGTTTTATCAAGAGAAAAACAAAAGAGCTGCAGGAGGCGGGGCCCTGCCGGGTGACTGTGCAGGGCTCAGCAGCTGCCCACAGAGGCTACTTATCTCCTATGCACAGGAAATGAGGCTGCTGGGAGGCAGCTGGCCAGGGCCTGGCTTTCAGCAAGCTCCCTGGGGGGTTCGGCACCCTGTTGCTCTAAGGCGGGGGGCGGGGGAAGAGCCGGTGGGAGCTAGCTGCCACTGCACTGGAGTGTGTGCATGGGCGACTGTTTTGAAAGGAAGGTAGCAGTGAGAAATGAAGAGTGAAAGGTGGAGAGAGAGGGAGAAGAAGATAGGAAGAGAAAGAGTGTGAAAGAGAAAGAGAGAAGAGAAGGGGAGAGAGAAAGAGAAAGCGAGAGACAGGAAGAGGAAAAGAGAGAAAGGAAGAAAGAATGCAACAGAGAAGGAAGAGCGAGAAAGGGCAAGAAGGACCGGACGGGGGCGGGGCTGGGAGGAGAAGGTCGGGGGAGGGGATTGAGAAGCAAGGAGGCTGCAGATCTCTTAGCTGAGCTCCAGCTTCTTTCCAGGCTCCTGGCAAACAGAGAGAGGCAACAGCAGGGCTGGGTCACAAGGTTCCAACGCGTAGAGCAACTTTACTTCATCTCTGTCCATCCTGCTACCCTGGCAAAAAGGTAGCAGCTGAGTGATTTTTAAAGTGCGTGCATGTGCGCGTGCGCGTGTGCGTGTGTGGTGTCTGGAGGTCTGAGGACAACTTTGTGGAGTCGGTTCTCACCTTCCACCCTTTTGTGGGTTCTGGGGATCCCTCAGCTTGCCAGGCTTGTGCAGCCATTGCCTTTCCGAGCAGAGCCACCTTGCCAGCCCTGAATGATTCCTAATGGAAATTTAATTACTGTGACTCTATGGAAACTTGACGCAAAGCCTCTGGAATAGATGAGGGGAGAAGTTCGATGAGTTACAGAGAAAGTCTCCGCGACAAAAGAAAAGACGTGACCGTCAGCCGCTGCGTGGCAGCATGTGGCACGGCCTGTGGGAAGGGATGGCATTCGCTCCTCTCTGCAGCCTTAAGGAGCCCTGGTGCCTTTCAGAGCCACCACGGCGGCTGGCCCGCATGCTCTGCGCATATGCTGTGCCCCAGTCACTATAGGCTTTTGGCTGGAGGGTGGGGAAAGCAGAGCCAAATGGTGACTGTGACCTTCAAGGGGTCAAAACTGGGGTGGGAAGGCTTGTAGGGATGTCTTTGCATAGATCTGAGTGGTTCACACAAATACTTGGGGAGCCCACACAGTCCTCACTCCTGGGTGGATGGTGGTACCGCTACTGTGTCCCAGGCAGTGATGGAGAGGTGCAGGGGCTGTGGAGCCCCAGGAAGGGGTCATTACTAGCTTTGGTGGCAACGCCTGCCTGGGAGGCTGCAGCAGGACTTCACAGAGCTGTTCCGTTTGGTCCTATTGGCCTGTCTGGGTCTGCCTGTGCTGCTGTTGGGAGGCAGGATTCTGTATTAGTGTGGGTGGAGCATAGGCGGAGTATGGGTGGGTTTTGGAGGGCTAAGTACTTGCTGAAGGAAGATGCACCCCAGGAAGTAAGGCCAGGCAGTGTTGAGAAACAAGCACCTGGGGGCTCCCAAGCCAGAGGGAAGGGGCCGGAAGGAGAAAGGGTGAAGGAAGGAAGATGAGCAAGTACTCTTAAGACACCTCCTGCCCTGTCCTGGGAACTCTCCCTAGTTTTAGTGTTCTTAGCTGAGTTAGTTTGGTGGACTGCTCCCTTCTAGCTGTTTGGCCAGCTGTGGGTACTGTCCTTCAATGCCCCTGACTGGCAAGCGGCTCCTTCTGGCACAACCATGTGATTGATTTGTCCTTCAAGGCAGCCCTGCACTCTGATTGGCTAAAGAGCACCGCTGAGACCCAAACCGTGAAGTGAAGTTGGTCTGGCTCTCTCTCTTCACAGAAGGACCAGAGAGCAGCACATACGTCCTGCGGACTGTGACCCGAAGTGTAACCCCTCCGTTTACCTCAGAGTGTCACAGAAATCAGTATTTGGAAATATTTTTAGGTGGAAGCACTCACGTTTAAAGATACTTGCTTAGTTTTGTAAGATAGTTGTTTCCAGCCAGGTGGTGGTGGCGCACACCTTTAATCCCAGCACTCAGGAGGCAGAGGCATGCGGATCTTTGTGAGTTCGAGGCCAGCCTGGTCTATAGAGCGAGTTCCAGGACAGGCTCCAAAGCTACACAGAGAAACCCTGTTTCAAAACAACAACAACAACAACAACAACAACAACAACAACAACAAGATAGTTGTTCCCAAATCACAGAAAGAAATTTATTTCAAATGCGTAAGGAACATGGAGATAAACAAGTGTGCTGTAGAACAAAATCATCCATGCTATGAAGCTTCTCCTTCAAATCTTTGAGTTATACTGTAACTTAAGTTGTACACTGTTGCTTTGGGAAAGGGAAGGTGAACTTCAAAATCATCATCATCACCATCATCATCATCTGCTTTTGAAACAGGATCTCACTGTAGTTTAAGTTGCCTCAAATGATGGTAATCCTCCTGTCTCAGCCTCCTGAGCATTGGGATTACAAACATGTGCCACAAGCCTGGCTTTACAAAATGGTTTTGAAATGCAGAAAAACGTCTCTTTCCCCATAAAACAGACCTAACAATTTGGGACTTGGTACCGGCATCAACGTTCAGCCTTTCCCGGTGGGAGATGTTTCCTTTCCAGCTTTGTGTTTTCAGCCCCAGCTCTGCTACGGTTCTGAGTGGAAGACTGGAGCAGGGACTCTTGCCTTGTCTGCTAGGCTTCTGACCTGGAGAGAATAAACAAAATCTCCACGGTTTCTTTCCCGTGGCTGTCAAGGCCATGCCAGCTCTCTGCAGACAGCGACTGATCGACCGACCAACTCGCCTCTTCTTTCCTTTGGGTGGGATCCCTATGGGCCATAGCTTCCTGAAGAAATTAATATATTAAGGTCTGCCAGCCTGACATCTTTCAAGCAGTGTTATAGGAACAGCTGTGAACTCTGCCACACCCCTAGCATCTGAATAGGTAACCTTAAGATCTTTCCCACCCCTAAGTTCTGTGCTATTGAAGGAAATAAACACAATTTTTGTTTCACCCCATTTTGACTCCTGTGTCTCCCCACATCCATTACCAGGGGAAGTGTACGTCAGAAAGAAAAATTTCCTGGAAAGCACAAAATAGGAAGAAGAAAGGTACAGTGGCCTCTAGCTCATGAATAATTCATGCATATGCATCTTAGCTTGTTGGTAATGGTTTTAAGCAAGCAATATGTCTTTTTGGTGATATTCTCAGCTCACTTTGGGTATGGGTCGATACATGATGACTCCATCTTTGCACAGAGCTGTACACATTTTTATAAACACAAGCTAGTTTTTCATCAAAGACCCCAACCATCCTCAAAGATAGTCTTTGGGGTTGGTCAGACCAGGATTTAAATCTGGGGTGGGCCAAAATGGAGCTTTGTTTCTGTATCAGAAACGGGTTGAGAATGATTAGTAATTCTTGATTGAAAGGGGCTGCTGTGTAAAGCTGCTCACTCTGGCTGGCTCCTTCCCCTTCGCTTTTCTCTGCTAAGACTTACCAGGCTTTGGGTCTGTACTCTGTGCTGGTGACCGCAATGTCTGTGTTGCCGAGAGCTACGGCAGGGGACCCAGGTGGGTAAATGAACAACGGCAGGGCTTCCTTCTGCTGAAGAAGAAAGGCTGCGGATCCTGAAAAGGTCTGGGTTATGCCTGCAGAGTACAGAAACCTCAAAGGCTGACTGAAGTTCTGAGGAAGCTATTTTTGAGTGGCGGCCTGCTGTGAGACAGGCTCTCAGGGCAAGCTTGTTTCAGGCCATTCTAGCTTCCCACCTGATCACCTACACTGCCTCTGGTATTTATCCCCATCTGCTGGCACAAAAGTGGACTCTCCTTCCATTGGGAGGCAGCCAGTGCTGGCTGCCTTCCTACAAACTAGCATAGAGACCCGGGTAGGAAGGAGAAGTTTCTGGAACAAAGGGAGCCAAAATTGCTTATTAAAGAATAGAAATGCTATTTTCTATATTGGCGTGGGCAGTCTGGTTGGTGTCTCTTGTGTATCTATCTATCTATCTATCTATCTATCTATCTATCTATCTATCATCTATCTATCTATTCATTTATTTATTTTTTGCTTTCTGAGACAGGTTTTCTCTGTGTAACCCTGGCTATCATGGAACTCGCTCTGCAGACCAGGCTGGCCTCAAACTCAGAGATCTGCCTACCTCTGCTTTCGAGTGCTGGGATTAAAGGCGTGCACCACCGTTGCCTGTCTTAAGTCAGTATCTTTTAATGCTGAACTTCTGGTAGGAGAACTGTCTCACGTCTCACAAGAAACCTGCCATCCACTCTACACCCAGGGCTTAAAACCCTCACTAGCATTTAATTTGCTTTCAAACCTGTCATTTGAGCAGAACAGCAAAACAGCCTGGTTCTATCATGGGCTGCGTCTGCTGAGATAGCCCAAAGGCCAGGCAGGGTCACTTGGCAGCTGAGAGGTTGGCTTGCCTGGCATTGGCTGGGATCTTGGTTAATAAGGCTGTTGGCTGAACACTGGTGCGGAGCTTCTCTATGTGGGTGCTTGGCTCCCTCTGAACGTGGTAGCTGAGTTCCAGAACGCCCAGGGAGGCTGGCAGAAGTTGGGACCTAAGTTTGGAAGTCACTCTGCATCTTTACTGCCCTGCCACAGGTGGCCTAGACTCAGGAAGAGATGGTCTCTCTCTCTCAGTGGGGTGGGTATCGACATTATGCTGTGGGACACAGCAGCTAACAGCCGCAGAGAGGACCTGGCTAAGGAATGGAGGCAAGGTTGTTCCAAGAAGTACTAAGGAACACTAGAAAAGTGCTTTTTCATTTTATAGTTTTCAAAACTCAGAATAACAGGGGTGTGTCAGGACAGAGAAATGGTAATATAATAGAAGATAGAATTTTCTTTTTAACAAGTTTCCATTTATTTGTGATGCACTCTAAGATTGTTTTTATACCACAGAATAAAGTCTTGCTTAAAAGGGCCTCTTGACTTCCAGATTATTTATCCATGATTGGTAGTATGTCTAATATTCTTACAGTTTAAATTTTCATACATCTGGAAATTCTGATAGGGAAGGACTCAGATTAATTGGTAATTAAGCCACTTGGGATATTGGTTTATTAAATAGTTATCCTTAGACTAGGTAACAAGGAGGGCCCAAAGGGGGACACATGTATTTCCCGGGGAAGGGGAAATAGAAGAGATCTCCTGGGTAAATCTGCAGATGGGGATGGGAACATGAGGGATCAGGTTGTGGGGTGGATGGAAGGGGAGAGTAATGAAAGAGATGACTGGAAAGGGGGTGACATTTCGGGGTCAGGTAGAAACCTGTTGTAAGAGAAACTCACATCAGTCTCTAAGGATGACCCCAGCTAAGACTCCTAGCAATGGTGGATAGGTAGCCTGAACTGGCCTTCTCCAGATTCATAACTATCCCAATTGTCATGGAGAACCTTTGTCCAGGAACTGATGGAATCAGATGCAGAGATCCACAGCCAAACACTGGGCTGAGCCTGAGGAATCCCGTTGAGCAGTGGGAGGAAGGATTGTACAACCAGGGGGGTCAGGATCATCACAAGGGAACCCATAGAAACAACTGGCCTGTTCATGGGAGCCCACAGACTATGAGCTGACAGCTAGGGAGCCCCCATGGGACAAGCCTATGGTCTGCATAATGTGGGATGGTCAAGTGGTTTGAGCTGCTTGTGGGACTCCTGGCAGTGGGATTGGGATCTGTCCCTAATGCTTTGGCTGGCTTTCAGGAACCTATTTCTTGCTGTGGATATCATTCTGTATAAATAAAACACTGATTGGCTAGTGGCCAGGCAGGAAGTATAGGCGGGACAAGGAGAGAGGAGAATTCTGGGAAGTGGAAGGCTGAGTCAGAGAGACACTGCCAGCCGCCACCATGACAAGCAGCATGTGAAGATGCCGGTAAGCCACGAGCCATGTGGCAAGGTATAGATTTATAGAAATGGATTAATTTAAGATATAAGAACAGTTAGCAAGAAGCCTGCCATGGCCATACAGTTTGTAAGCAATATAAGTCTCTGTGTTTACTTGGTTGGGTCTGAGCGGCTGTGGGACTGGCGGGTGACAGAGATTTGTCCTGACTGTGGGCCAGGCAGGAAAACTCTAGCTACAATTTCTCATACTGGATTGCCTTGCCCAGCCTTAATACAAGGAGAGTAGCTTAGTCCTACCTCAACTTGATATGCTATGTTTTGTTGACACCCATGGGAGGCCTGCCTTTCTGAACAGAGGTGGAGGAGGGGTGGATTGGGGAGGGGGGCAGAGAGAAGGGAGGTGGGGGGAGGGGATGGGAGAAGGGTGGAGGAGAAGCTGCAGTTGGGATGTAAAATAAATGAAAAAAAATTAATAAAAAAATTGAGGGCTCGAGAGATGGCTCAATGGTTGAGAGCACTGGCTGCTCTTCCAGAGGACCCGGGTTCAATTCCCAGCACCCACATGGCAGCTCACAACTGTCTGTAACTCCAGTTTCAGGGGATCTGAGACTCATGGCAAAACACCAATGCACATAAAATCAAAATAAATAAATAAAAAAAAAGGAAAACAAAAAATCTCTTAATCACTGACATTTTATTTAATCTTATACCAAATCCCTACTGATGGACTCAATCATTATTTATCTTCTTGTCCTAATAAAATTATGCCCTAGGAGCTAAATATCTGGTTATAAACTCGGAAGCACCTTAGTCACAACCAAGTTGAGCTCTCTGAGCCTCAATTTTCTTCTCTGTAAGTTGGGAATATTTTGGTCCCACCCCCCATTTGGGTTACTTTTAAGACTATGTGACTTAACATATGCAAATTCATCCTGTTTTTTTTTCCCCCCAACATCCATGCAGCTGGAGTTCTCTGGGATACCGACTCTGATGTGGGCACTGGCTTACAAGATGTCTATTTGGCATACCTCGAGCTTGATAGCTTTGAGAAGGTGGACAGAGGGAGATGAAGCCAGCACTACCTTAGCCAGTCTTCCAGGGATTTGGAGAAATGACCCCTCGCTTCCCTAGCAACCATTAATGGCCAGTTGCTTGTGTGGGTGGGTGGCACTCATGAGTCCCTCCCCATACAGGTTGAAGGGTCACATCTTGTACAGGTTTTGTGCAGTCAGCCATAATTACTATGTGCTCATAAATGCAATAGCCATGCCATATCCAGAAGATATGTGGAAGTTTCGATATGTTAAACATCACAGAGACAGAAAGAATACATTGGAGAGGGGTAATGTACAGAATGGAAAATGTCGCTGCCATGTGTCCAGATGAGGTTTCCTGGGCTAGAATTTGCCAAACTCATCTTCAGTCTTGGGATAGAACACTTTTCTTTCCATATTTGTCTTTTTGCACATTTCTAGCTTAAAAAATGTGTCTAAAGGAAAATTTAATGTGATACAGTTTACAGACTGATCTCAATTACAGGGGAGAATGTGGATGTGATAAACAGGCTATATGGACTGATCCCAGTTACAGGGGAGAATGTGGGTGTAATAAACAGACTGTGGACTGATCCCAGTTACAGGGACTCCTCTGAAAAAAGTATTTGCAGAGATCAGACAAGATGAGGTCAACAATGTGCTTGTCCTTTTATTATAAAAGTAAAATAAAAAATAGCATTTATAAATCCAACATTTTTTCTTTTAAAGTATTTGATTTAGAAAACATATTTACAATAGTAAAATGCAGAAAAGGGGGAAAATAGTATTTTCAGCAATGATTGTAGCATGTCTTAAATATTGTTAAGTTCATGTGTTTTTTTTTAAATCACAGATAAACCACATTAGAAAAAGCAATGTCTTTTTTTATTACTCATCAAGTTCTCATTTAAAAATATCTTTTTCCTTAATCTTAATTTGAATGCACAACTGTACTGCAGACGGCTAGAAAGAACACCGGGTGGGGACAGGGACACTTTTAATGACAGCAGGAACCCAGCAGAGGGAGAGTAGCAACAACACAAAGCAAGTGTAATCCAGTAGCAGCTGGAAAAGCTCAAGCCACCTCCCCCAAGCCACAGCTGAGTACTG